GTTTAAAGTTAATGAATAAAAAATATGTTTTATACCTTTCAACAATCATAATAGATTTTACTCCGTAAATTAAGCTATAGAAATTGAATTCAAGGCGGAGAAAAAATTGCTGGCTTGAAAATCGATTTTTAAATCGAATTAATGACGTGTCTACAATTATGTGAAATTGCCGCAATTTAAAATTTTGATCAGAGTCCTTCGTGACATAAATGTAATCGATATCCTTTTGAATTTTGCCAGACAAGAAAATCAAGAACTTACACACATTTCAAGAAAATTATTAATTGCTAATGTTTGAAAAAATGCTAATGTTAAACCAATGAGAAATTATCATCACGTAAAAAAATCACTAATATGATAAACTTCTTTGGTGTTTATTTTTAATAAGAATGAAAAAAGTAAAACTATTATGGTTTGGAAACAAACTATGAGGTGAATGGGAAACCAATGTAGGCCTTCTCCAAAAACATCCCTCAAAAGACTTTAGTCTAATCTCTTTTGGGTTTGCAATGGGTTAACAAGGGAATTGATGAGTTTTGACGACTTAATTCACTAACAGCCACTTGTACTCTACAAACAATTACATGACGTTCAGGTCCTGAACATGGGATCATTTTCAAAAGGAGTCTGGAAGTGTATGGATTTTGTAGAGTTAAAAAACATAATGTAAAATTAAAACTTTCTATTTAGATAAAACCACAAACGCGTGAAGTGTCAATCATTTCTATTTTTGAAACTCTTGCATAGTTTCACAAACCGTAACCTTTTGAATAAGCTCTGAAGTTTAAGATCGAATCGTCATGAAATTATTGATTGAATCCAATTATCTATTAATAAACAAGGTCACCCTAGTCCTTCATTCATGTATAGTAATATAACGAACGCCAACATAGAGATTTAAAATGAGTTAACATATATTCCAGCGGCCGCTGCGTCGCTTCCGGAGACAATATTCGCGTGGGCGTCGGTCTCTGAACGATCCGTCGAGCCGACGTGCGTTCGCGCGCGCCGTCGCCGTCGCGTCACGGGGGAAACCCGCGCCACATTGCGACGCGTCGGGAGGCGTCGTAGGGCGTCGCGGCGAGCGGCGTCGTCCCGGCCCGGCCCGGCAACCGGGGGAGCGCCCATCTGCCGCCAACGGCCTCCGGAAACGCTCACACGCAATAATATTTTAATCAAGCTAGCGTCTGCTGTATAATAGGGGACCGTCGCCGCCCCTCCTCGCTTCGAGGCTGGAGCGCGATACCCGGTCAATGAGTGCACAGTTCGAAGCAGACAAAGCGGGATGATGAACTTTAGTCACCACCACTTTCTCGACTTATCATTGTCGTCGTTTACATCATTCCTTCATTCATCATCCCTGGTGGAAATATTACTGATATGGACGGAATACGAAGATGGAAAAGTCGTAGTAATAAATCGCCTATGTGGGCTCTAAACGAGCAAGCTGGGTTTGCGCGTATACGACCACTTTTATGCGGAATTCTAAAAGTATCTAGTTACCTGAGTCATTTTTATGTTAGTGTAGTGAGCAACGAGTGATTAATTAGTAAAGTCTGGATAATACATTGTATATTAGTATTTACAATTGTTGATTGAAAATAATTCAATCATTCACATCAACTGTATTATGTATAACGTCGTATTAATGAAAAATTGCTTCTTTTTTTATCAGCATTTAATGTTTCATGATTACAGCGTATGTCAAATAATGTTTTACTCAAACCCATTACAACCATATTAAAATTCAGTTAAGTGTATCTTGCAGACTCACATTGTTATGTACATATAATCATTGCCAATAAAAAGTAGCGACATTGTTAGAGTTGAATTACACCACTAATACATTATAAAAGCTAAACCCCTTGCAATGTTTCAATCCATGATTATGTTAGTTGTCGGAGAAATTAATATTTTCTAGCATGAACGTCTCTTTGCTGAAAATTTCTAGCTTCGTGATCAATTACGTCCCAAGCCACTGAAAATTAAATTTCTCTCTCCCGAATCATAAAAACAAAGAGCTTCTATGTACTCCGATTCGTTAGTAAATTTTCCAACCCACTTTTGCATTCGTCAAGCTGCAAGTTTTGATCTCGTCGACCTTAAACGATTCCCTATGGAATTTCGGTCGCGCGTGCCACTTGTCAAAAAACAACCACAAAAAAAACAAACTAAAAAAGTAGAAAAAAACTCCGGCAGCGATCGGATTTCCGTCGGGATCGACTTTTTCCATCCTCGCCTCGCCACGCCGCACCGCGCTGGGTCACCTACGCTGCCATGTGCGACCGACAACACGCGACCCACCGGATGAAGAAGACATGTTTCGCCTCATTTCGGCGTGTTCTTTGATGGGGAATTTGTTTGGGTCCGAACAACATGTGGTAGCTTGCGTTGCCTTGTATTCGTACTATGCGCCGTCGACGTGTTTCTTTTTATTAAAATTGATGGCTTTATGAGGGGTTGAAAATAATTGAAACTTGGGAATAAGATGATGAGTTAATGTTATGTTACTTTATTTGTAGTTATTTTAGTAAGGTAAAGAACACGTAGTTAAATATAATTATTATAAAGTAATTATATTTATTACATTGAAAAAATTCACAATGTTTTATTAATATTAACTCACAATAATGGAATACCTTTTTCAAAATTATTTACTGAATTACTTAAATTGTGTACGCCATTTTAACTATCCGACAATTAATTTCTTAACTCATTTGACTTACAGAGTTCTTACTTTATTTTAGGCCTAGAAGTTTTTATAACATTGTCTAATTTGCATGGAACTTCTACAGTTTTTCTGACTTCATTATTATCTGATATGTAAATATTTGAATTTTATTATTTTGTTCATTTGCGTGAAAATATTATTCATCTTTACTTAGTGAGAAAATAAAATTAAAGATTTGATAATTTTTAAGTCAAGTACTTTATTCGCTGTGATTTGTCTTTAAGTCAGCTTGATGTCCATCTGTTATCATATCCACCTAGGATTAATTTAATAATAAAATTACTAGTAAAAGTTCATTCCATTTTGCGTCCAACAATGACGAAACTTAATTTTCATTAAAATTTTCTTGGCGCGTATCCTTCCTTATGGCTCTAAAACTAATGTGTCGACGCTATTGCGTCATTCCATTACTTAGTTTCAATAATCATAATATTTACCTCTGTGAATTTAAGTATTTGCAAGAGCTGAGGACGTTCCTGATTTGGTTACAATTCAAATCAACTTTAACCCACTTCAGTTTGCCGACGTTTCAGAATGTTTAAATTCCATCTTCACAGCTAGTAATAATACAAGAGAAATAACAGAGTGAATGTTAATGCATTGCTCTTTTTTTATTAACAGTGTTGCTGCTTTTGCTTATATTATTAGCCTGGAACATGAAATTAAAATATTCTGAAACGCCGGCAAACTGAAATGTTTTGAATAGAATTGTGACCACAAACTGAAATGTTTTCAATGGAACTATGACCAAATCCCATGATTCGGAAAGTCCTTCAATTTATTTAAATTATCGAGTCTACAATTGTTATTTGTTCGCCCTGATTATTACTAATGTTAATAACATTACTTTGAGGCATTAAATATTGGTTGTCTTGGTGGATTTTCTTTGGTTCTTCGACAGTGTTGTTTCATATTTTTGTCTATTGGAAGCCATATTAAATATATTAATAATTAACTCCTGGGCAAAGTCATCCATCAGTTCTACGTACTTTGCGTCTCACCCTGCAAATAAAGAACGTGAGTTCCGTAGGACGCGTTGATTCTTTCTGACACATGCCCGTGTCACAACGCTCTTCTGCACGGGTCTGGATAAACCATCGGCGCCCGCCTGCAACGTGGGTAGTCGACGCGAAAGAGACCTTCTTGCTAATTACAGCTCTCCCCGCGCATTTGCATGGCCTCCGGAGCTGGCGGGTGATCAAGTAAGATTCTTGGGTTAATCTGGCGCGGGCCGCGATACGTCGTGTGAGCAATAGCGCTAGTTAGGATTTGCTTCTCTACGAACAATAGACCTCCTCAAGGCGGCCTTCGATAATTCTCCGTTTCGAAATGCTGTTTCAATGCCGCGTTTTGAGAACGCAACTGCCCATCTTATAGCCCTTTTTAAATTGAGGGGACATGCCATTACTGAGGCCACACATGCGAACTTTTATTCGTGTTTATTCAAAAAATTAATAGCCAGTAATTGAAAATGAATATATTCTGTACTTTATCGTCACAATTACACGCAGTAGAAAACACTTCCTCTGGATGGAGAGAAAACGAGATGAAAAAATGTTTCCTGTCATACAAATTAATGAGAAGTACGGAGAAAGATATCGAGAAGGATTCGTTAATTACGTTATGGGGCAAACTTTGGATAGTATAAAAACCCGAACATAAATTTAATTTGCTCTTTCAATAAGCCAGAACATAAATGGTTTTGTAAGCTGTTTATGGAATAATCATTTTTTGTCATAAAATATTACTCCTACCTAATGTACGCAATTTGAGTTATAACAAACATACAGTTCTCGAGTGATAATGCAATGTAATCAGGTACTCCATTCCAAAAGATTTGCACCGTCCCAGGTAAGGAGTTAGGAACAACCCTATTCTTTCCCCCGAGAACTCCTCGCACCTTAAACATTCCGGAACTGAGAAATCGCATTTTGTTTCTGTGAACCCAGCCGCTCAGACAGAGTTGTATCGCCAGGAAGCGGGCCGTGCTCGTCTCTTTGTGCTTCTCGTGGTAGGCTCGACCGTGTTCCGGATACAGCCTTCTCGCCGCCTCGTTCCCGACTTCTCACCGCTGCTGTTTCTCTGATTACCCCCTTTGCCCCGACACGCCGCGCGTCGTGTTTTGTAATGCCGATGGGATGCAGAGTGCGTTGCCAAGGCAATAAATAGAATAAACTCATCGATTTGACAGGTTCGACTCTGGTCGTTGGGTATGGATTTTTGAATCGATACACCTTCCCTCTCCGTATTTATTTTTATTCGGTGTTAGGCGTCGTGGCGTTTCGTCCGCAGGCCAAACTTCGCCGGGCATCGAAAAAGAAAGACGGATTTCTTTGGAACAAGTTTATGTCTTCAGAAACGTAGATATAAAGTGGATGCCCCCCTCAATCATAACTGTTTTTTATTGATACATTTTATTCATCGAATATCAGATGCACTGAGTATAGTCTGTTCCTGTGAATTTTCTTGTTTATTTACGAGTCACAAGTACAATACTTCATTGAATATTAAGAATGATCTTTTTCTTGAAATTTGTATTCGAAATACGATAAATATAACCGATTAAATTGTGTTTTCAGAACTGATTTTGAAGCGTTATTTTTCAGTTTTTTCAACCCGAGTATTGATTGATGTATTCCGAGTGACTAAATAATCTAATATAATAGGGAAAGTAAAAATCAAAAATTACTACTAATTATTATTATTAGTATTGTCATTGCATGCGAAAAAAATACAACGCAAAATTCTCCGCGACAAAGGGCATCGAGCAACGCGATTCGGATACACTCCACCCTTCGGCATCACATATCTTGGAAATCTTTGACCATCCAGAGCATCGCCTGTAACGAATGCAGTCTACAACATAGTCCTGGCATGTCGTCGCGAGAAAGAGCGCCTATCCGAGTCCACGGCGTCGACGCCAGGCCTGGGAGCAGGGCGCCGGGGACGGCGGGCTTGCTTCCCGGACTTGCCGTGCAGCGCTGCAATTAACACACCATGTTGAAATACGTCCTCAATTTATCATCTCTCATTATCGCGAACGCGACTTCGGTATTCTATTCTAATTAGAAGGCGGAGGAGCGTCCTCCGACGAGCCGGCGCTCGGTTCCGAATCGGAAAGGTTACGTCACGAGCGCCGCCGGCCGGTCGCCGGGCTAAAGATAATGCTTCAATGCAGAAATTGCTTCTGGGACCTTTCGGGTTGGAACGGGATAGGACAAGGTAAATGACTTACTGTGATTCTAATAGACGTTTGCTATTTACACAGTATACATTACGTATTTCCTAGAAACCCGCCGTAAGAAACTTCGAAACATCAATAAATTCTACTTTGCAATGTTATGATGTTCAAGATTTGTCGGCGAGTAGAAATGATAAATGAATGTCACATTCTCGCCAATGTGAAAGAACGAGTAAAGTTAAAACATGAGACAAGTTGTTCATGTTTGAAACAAATATCTTGACTTACTCAAGTTTGAAGCAATCATATGGGACTACTTTATTTGAGTTGTTTAGAATGCAAGATATATTAAGTACTATATAGGTGATATTTAGGTTTTGTCATTTTTTACGAAGGTGGTGTTTTGTTGCCTAGGCAAATATAATTAACAAAATCCATAATCTAAATTGCAAGCTGCAATCGCATTCTACAATGTAGAGAATTTAATATTCTTGGTGTACAATTGAGAGGGCATACGACACCATGAAGACATATTACTCTCCCCAAGTTATTTTCGCAAAAACATTGCCTGTCTACAAATCTGTACAAGAACTTGCAACATATAAAACAAAGTTTTAAATTTTAAAAAAAACTTTGAACTGAATAAATATAATGCTTCTGCGTAAATGGTCAGATCATAAAGGTGATGTCTACAAAACACAAAAATATCACGAAGTATTAACAAAAATGTTGAATTGGTTTATGCGTTTCATTAATTAATTGATGTGTTCCCTCAGAAAACCAATAGCGGAATTGGCACATGTGCCACAAAGTGAATAAAGTTTTAAAATGTCGAAACACGCCTTGATTCTTGCCACACGATGAGTCCCTTTCAAGACGATCCCTAGTGCCTGTCAAGCCCTGGTGGACACGGGCGGAGATGTCTCTTGGCATTCAAGCATTCCTGGTTGAGGGTGCAGGGCGCGGCCTCCAGAAATAACCCTAGTGAACTTCCCTGGGCGAGTCGGCCTTCCGCACCCTCACCCCCACCCCCCTCCCCGGACACCGTCAAATTCCAGGCTCTGCCTTCCGCCCGCTCGCCACCGCCTACACGCGCGCCCTTCCCCCGAGATTACGACGCCCCGTTTAAGCTGCTGTACTTGAGGGCCGTTTCCATGCCCGCCTTCATAATCCTTCCGCGCCTTTTTTTCCGTGGGCTTGTGAGGCAAGGAATATCTGATGGGCAAAAGTGCTTCTTTTCTGGGGTCTCTAGAGGCTGGATTCCAATCGTTATTTTTCGGTGGTCTAGTAATCTTCATTTAAGTGCTTCATTCGCCGGTGTGTGTGTGTGTGAGTGTGAGGCTTCTGCTAGTGGCATTACGCCCATTAGAAGCGTGTTTACCCCCATACGATCGGGTCGTGTCGGTCCCTTGTGAAGGGGGGAGGGGTGCTGGTTGTAAGCAGCTTGCGGACGCATCTGGTCGGCGTCGCGACGACGACGGCGGCGGCGGCGGCGGCGTCATCAAGGGGAACGCGAGGGAGGCGGGCCGTCGGAAGAAGGGGACAATCTGGTTCCCTCATTCGCGAAACGAGCGAGCGACACCACGCCACGCTACAGGTCACCCGTTTCCCCCTTACATCCCCGTGGACATCCACTCACACGTCCTCGCCCTTGTCCTCACTCCCCCTGCCCCCGCCACGCGGCGCTCCTGTCGCAGCTGGATCCCTCCAACCCCTCCCCCCTCACACCGGGCACGGCCCCCATACCAGTCCCTCTCACCCTCTCCCGCGTGCTCATATTTATAACTCGCGCAACCTTTTCGGCGCTGTAATCGTAAATTTCCACTTTCACAGAATACAAATCATTTCATCTGGGAAGCGTCCGTTGGTGCGCCGCAGCCGCCGCGTTTTCCGAGCGCGGGGGTGCGTTTCGGCGGCGACCCGTGCGCCGCCGCGCGCCGGGCACGTGTTACTGCCCGCCCCCGGCCGGGCGCCCGCGGACAGCGCGAAAATGATAAAAATTGCGTCCGGCCAAATATTTTCGCGCGGGACCGGCGCGCCGCCATTAATGCGGCTGTAAATGGCGACGTGGCCGGAGCGGGGGACGGTGCGCGGGCGGGAGGGGGCAGCTTCGAACGACCGGGCGGCCCCGAGCTGTGTTTTTTTTGGGTTTTAAAACCTCGCCTAAAGCAGAAATAATAAATAAACAAAAGTGCAAAAATATTTTCGCTGCGGGGCGTTCATCAGAGTCGTTGCTGGTGGTTGTGGTGGTGTGGGCTGTTTTTCCGGCCGTGAGCTTTCGGTTTGAGTGGAATTCGTGCATCCGATTTGTTGAAAGCGAGCAGTCGTGACATGCCTGTTTGCGGAGAGTGCATCCAGGATGGCGTTTTTCCATGGATCGGTCAACTCTTTGGGGTCTAAGAAATGATGGAAATTCTCATAATAGATAATGATGTACCTAATCTAAGGATATATTTTTATTTTTTCAATATGACCCTGATCAATTTCGAGGATCAAAAATGAAACTGATCATATAATATTTGTGTTTTAAAATATTTTATATAACTTAAAGTGTCATTTCATGAACGATTTTCTCAAGACGCATTTTGTCAAATAAAATCTTTGGAGCTTTTGAATGGCAGAGAGACAATAAGCACTCAAATGTTGGTTTGGAAAAATACATTCTACGCAAAAATTTGCATTTAAGAAGCATATAAACATTCCAGAAACGTGAAAATTGTTTGTTATTTACAAAAGAAATGAATGTATTTGCTTGCAATGAAAAATTAACACAGAAATCAAAAATCAATTAGTTTGCGTTTATTGGGTGATTTTGTGTGTTAATTTGTCTTTGTGAATATTTCTTTCGTAAATAATAAAAAGTTTATAAGTTTCTGGAATGTTTATTTGTTTTTGAAATGTACGTTTTTGCGTAGAAATAATTTTTTTCAATCCCAAGTTTGTGTGTTTATTGCGGCTCTGCCATTCAAAATCTCGGAGATGTTTATTAGACAAAACGTGCCAAAAATTGCATTCAAAACTTACTTCCGATGTTTCAATGGTCCCTCCCTGAACACCCTGTATACACAACACATGCTGGAACCCGCGTCCCGAGGGCCGTCGCCGGGGATGGAAGCCGGCCCGTGGCCGGCGCTTCCGGAGAGCGCGTGCGCGCAGACGCGACCTTGCGCCGGCGCATCCGCGGGCGTCGGCGTGCACGCGCGTGTTCCCCCCCCCCGCCCCGCGCGTTAATAGCCCTGCGCGAGCGCGGCCGAGGCGCGCGCCACGCAGCCCGCCCGCGGCCCCGGTGGAGAGGAGGGGCGTAGCTTTTGGCTTTCTTGTGAACCACTTGAGTAGTGTAGAGAAAGAATCGTAATGTTGCGAAAAACTGCGGTCTTTTGGCGGAAAAACTCGTGTTGTCTCGCAATGATATGCGAAAGGGAAATAAATATTGTTTTTGTATGTACAAAATTACATTCTCTAATATGGTGTATACTCAAAATCCACGACTTGAGAATCTTTAATACCAAAAAATTGCTTGATGGCCAAACGCCCATCGTTCTGTCTGTCCTCTCATCCGGCCATCTGTCCGTCCGCCTGTCTGTTCGTCAGTCTCACTGTTTCACTGTCTGCCTGTCTGCCTGCCTAGGGTCAACACTAGCGACTAATCCATAGTAACTATTTTCTCCAAAATTGGTCCCCCATCAATCTGGTCGAACTCAAGATCCTGCACTTTTGAAAGAGAGATTTTGATTTTAAGAGCACTTTACAAGAAACATTACCTATATTTTGAAAATAAAAAAAAATAGTTCCAAAGTTTTTGATTGTACTTTTATTCCTGGTAGAGCAAAAGATGCGTAAAATGAGGCAGGAATAATTTCTCAAAATTGTAACAGTTACAAATAATGCGAAAAAAAACCTGCTGTGTTATCACTACTAGTTCTGAAAAGAATTTTTACTTTGCATTAAATTTTCGTCGAATTGAACGCTTTTTTTTTCTTTCCTCTTTGAAGTTGCACTTCTAGAGAATTCTTGGCTTGAAATGACTGTGCGTTGTGCCAGGGAATGTGTGAGTATACCATTTATACTCGCTTTGTAGTATAACATTTATGTTACTGAAGCTGTGCCGACTATGCATTAAAGAACAAGAATATATTTTTATGATTTATAATACGATCTGGTCGGTAATAAAGAACAGATACAT